ACAGCCGCAACCCTGCCGCCGATGCTCTACGTCATCGATATGCGTTTTCTTAAGTTTGTCTGTATGTTAGATTGAGAAAATATTATTCTTGTTAACTTTATGTAACAAAAGCTTTGATTTCGTTGGTATTTTCAGGACACATTTTCTGTTGTTGTTAGCTAGATAAACGCAAGAGGCACTTGTCGTAATCAGTTTTCGTCCTTGAGGCCCTAGCACCTCTCATCGGTAATTTATTCCATTGTAGACTTCCATGCAACTTCTTTTCTCCATTGCCACGCGCTGCGCTTGTTTACTTAGCTTTTTGTCGAACACTCATTTACGTCCATGTACACATCCACTTCAATATGGACTCAAGTGATTGATGAGCAACGGTGAATAATGGCAATGATGGTGGCGCTGGCGATGGCGTCTTTTAGCAGCAGAGTCACTTTGGCGTCATCAAGTAAGTGCAGCTTCGTTGCTGTATTGAGAAACTCTCCAAAGGATGAGCTTTAATACCCACACATACGCTTTCGGAGATAAGCGATTTGTACTCGAGCAGCTTACAGCCTTGTTCAAGAGTGCCGTTATTCTAGCATTAGCATCAACTAGCTGCAACAGCAGTGGGTGTTGCAAGTGATTTCAGCCTGCAGCTTATACCGCTGTTGGTGGCACACTTCAACTTGTTGTTGACACAGTTTCTAACCGTTTTTTTTTATTCGTTTTCTGATTTTCATAGTTCGCTTGGCTTTAAATCTATTAGAGTCGGTGTCGCTATTCTGGCTTGTCAATGTCAGTGGCCCAGTTGTGCGTATTTTCTTGTCTTCTATTTCTATGCTTTCACTTGCCTCATGTTGACAAGTTTAACTTTGTTATTTCGCTCACCTTCGAGAGATTGACAAGCCACCTCTGTCAGTGCATGCTGCTAACCCATCCGTTATTTAGTTAGTTACTCCTCTTGACTGCACTGTCGGGATCGGAATTCACATTTTTTTTATTTTAAAATATTTACCTATAGTACAGTTTTGAGAAATTTCAAAAAAGTTGTTTTAAATAACAATAATTTTAAGAAAATTACTAATTTTTGGTTAACTAGCAAATAATTTGATTAAATTATTTAATGTAGAAGTTTTTTGGTTCTGTAACATTCTCAATTTGGTAATAGCTGTAGCTGGTATCATATATCGACCAAATTGGATTTGAACTAAACGTCACTATCGTAAGTGATTATTTTAAATCTTTCTACCACATGAATATTGCTTAAGTCATGTCCGAAACTCGACAAGCTGGCCTTTGAAAAAGAGTGGTCTCAAAATTCTAGTGGATATATGTTTGTCCTGTCGTACTACAGATATTAAGTGTTCCTTTGCTGTATAGGTTTTGGCTATTTGCTGTTTGTTGCCGCCATCGCAAATTATAGAGTTTGTCGTAAAAAAAATTCTAATGACTGACTAACACAGCCAGTTGATTAAGCCTCCTGCTCATCGAAACGCTCGTCATTGGCTACCAACTTGACTAAAAATTAGATACAAAGTTCAACGATGATTCAAAAATATTTTTGTTTTACCAAATTTGCTTACCTCTATCTATAGGTCTGGTCTTTCATCAAATGTGAATCACTGTTGTATTAAATACCATCATATGATCATTTGTGTGTTACTAATACGACTAACATAAGAGATGTGGTTAATATTTTCCTTCTAAATATTTCACTAATTTAACTTTTACCATATTGGTTAATCTCTAATTAGCACTAAGGCTTGCCAATGCTCTACTTTTTCTCACCCTTCTACATATGAAGTTAAACTGGAAAGTATAGAAACACCCTCGAATAATTTACTCGTAATTGTGTGTATTAATACAGTTACGTAGAAGTATGCAAAACTATATGCTGTTTTTGTGCAGTTATATTTGCCTAGAAAGTTTTTCCATATTTATTCTGGGTTTAGCATGAGCAGCAGCTGTTGCCTTCGGCCCCAAGTTGTACACTTGTGTATCCAACTCACAAGTTTTGCTGGGTTTGCTAATGAAATGCTGATATGTTGCTAAAGTGTGGGGGAGTTTTCATAAAGTTCCTTTTGGGCTTTTCTGCTTACTTATTTAAATTTCCAATTATGTGAAAACTACATATCGTTTTATTGGCGCGATAAGAAAGAAGCAGAAGAATTTTAGTTGCCATGTATATACTTGTATAGCCATAGTAGAATATATTTACATACACATATTATTAAATCGTACTGTGCATATATGCGTCAAAGGATTGTTTTAGCTTTAAACCGATTTCATTCATATTCAGCTAGTGGTTAAGATAACACTTGACTAAGTAGTTAAGAAAATAGTTAATTTCATTAAAATATATCATATACATATTCTACGAAACCCTTTTGTACCATGTTGGCGTGTGTGAAATTTAATACTTCTGACGTATTATTTCGTAAGTTATCGCACTTTTAATAGTTTTCAGCATAACACGTTATATGTGGTGCGGGTGTGGTTATCATTTGATTTCGCCCATTTTCACAGCGTATTTTCATAGCAAGGTATATACAAGGTGCGTTCCAAAGTAAACAGTAAAAAAGTAAGAAAGTAAACTCTAGTGGCGCCATCTATATGTCGACTAGTGCGTTAGAATCTGCTATCCTTTATCCACTTCCAGTAAAAATTGCATGACATTTCATCTATTGGAAGTGAAGTTTTTGCGTTTTAAGAGTCAGTATGTTTCTGTCATCGGTGCAAAAATGAGCTTCGAACAAAGAGCCAACATTAAATTTTGTTTTAAAATTGGTAAAACTTTTATTGGTAAAATTGGTAAAACTTTTACCGAAACGTGTCAATTGATGAAACAAGTTTATGGCAAATGACGATGAACATGTGGTCCAACCAAAATTCATTATCACCGAAAATTCCATCGAAACTGTGCGTGAATTCATTAAAAATCAGCCGAAATCATCATCGAAATTCATGGAAATAGAATTGAACATCTCCAAAACATCGATTTATCGCATTTTGACCGAACATTTGGGCTTACAAAAGGTGTGTGCACGGTTTGTTCCGCACAAATTGACTGACGACCAAAACTTGCTTAGAATTCAATATTCGAAGGACATCATTAAAGAGGTAAAAAAAGACCCGAACTTCCTTTACAAGATTGTGACTGGTGACGAAACGTGGTGTTTTCAATATGATCCCGAAACGAAACCCCAGGGGTGCTGAATGGAAGGCGCCGGACGAGCCGGAACCCAAAAAATCGCGCCTGGAGAAGCCAAAAGTGAAGACAATGGTGGATTTGGTTTTATGATTCCAAGGGTATTGTCCACAAAGAATTTGTTCCACCCGGCCAAAACGTTAATGTGGTATTCTACCTTGGAGTTTTGAAGCGTTTGGTGCGCCGTATTCGACGTGTTCGGCCCGAATATCGCGAAGATGGAAGTTGACGTTTGATGCACGATAATGCATCAACCACTCCCCGTATTACCTGATATGGCACCTTGCGACTTCTACCTTTTCGGAAAGATGCATTTGCCGATGAAAGGAAAGCGTTATGCAGACGTGGAGGTCATTCAAAAGGCTTGCACCGGCATACTGCGGCCATACCGGGCAACGAGCTAAAACACTCGCTCGACATGCTTTTGGACCGTGCAAAAAGCTGTATTAAAACAGAAAGAGACTATTTTGAATAAAATTAATTGATTTTTGCCGATAAAACCATTTGTTCTGTCTTTTTTTTAAAACTCCTGTTTACTTTGGAATGCTCCTTGTACATACTTTAAGCGTACTAGGGCGGGTTACGTCCTCTTTTGAAAAATGTCCAGCTTCATACTTTGATGCCCCATACCAAATTACAGTTTTGTATCTTAATTTTCTTGTGATCTTAGTTGTCTGCCTACATTAAATACACTTCACAGCTACTTTGCATATCTCAAACATCGTTCGGCTTGAATTCGTGTTGTTATTTCCGTATAGTTTAATTTAACCTAATTTGACACTTGCCACAACAAAATATCACAGCAAATTGTGTAAGAGCAAATCAATCCAACATACCTGCTTAGAAATAAACTGCTCTAGAGAAGCTGTAAGGTGTGCCATTTCGTTAGTAGCAAAGCCGTCTCGTCTCATCAGCTAAAATAATTCACGTGGCAACACTTAAAGCAAAGTTTTCATAAAACGTCCGAGAAAATACGTCGATCATCTCGATGGTTGCCTTGCTCGCTTTTATGACCAACGTTTGCTTCTTTTATGGCAGTAAATGTCGTAAATTGTGGTGTGGCGAAGCTTTTATGTGTAATTTGGTGTTGGTTCACATACATATACAATTCTAAAAGAAATAGTAGGGAATACACGCATTCCACTGTTTTTCGGCTTTAATTCATGGTTACGCGCCACTCAACGTTGCGATACTTCATTTCGCTCGACATTTCCTCCCTTTGATGGCTGTCTGCCTTACTTTTGTCTCTTTATGTGACATTTCACCAAACAATGTTACGCCGGCCATCTGAAGCTTTCCAAATTCTCTACGACTTTAACCAAACTAATTTACTGCTCGGTTTTGTGGCGCGTACCTTAGTTTTACTTCTGAGTGCCTATACAAATGAAATTTTTGTGAAATTCGTTGCTGATAGTTTTCAGACTAGTCAGCTTCAGTTCCGAAATTTCCATTTAAAGAAGAATTACTATTTGGATTTTACACTGCAGGAATTCTATGAGCCTTATTTAAGTGATTAGGCCAATCTAGAGTCCTTAAGATGTACTTTAATTTCCCAAATTTATTTTGTCAGTAAGAAAGACAAACTATCAAACTTTCTTAAAACTGCTTTTGAGTGTATAAAAAATTTTACATTGACACTTTGTTGCAAAATTACGACATCAAATTTTTTCAGAGAGTCTCTTTAATTAAAATATATGCATATAATATAAAAATACAAATTGTCTTCAAAAATATCAATTTGTATCGCCTTTTTGTCGTTCTCACGCTTTTGGAATATTATATTAATTTATATAAATAATATTTTTTGCAATTACAGTTTAACTCATCAACGTGTTGCATTAAAAGAAATTAGACTGCAAGAGGAGGAAGGTGCCCCATTCACCGCGATACGTGAAGCCTCGCTGCTGAAAGAACTGAAACATTCAAACATTGTGACGTTGCATGACATTGTGCACACAAGGGAAACGCTGACGTTCGTTTTTGAATATGTGGTGTGTATCAGCAGCAAGCGAATTTTACTATAAATGTTGCAGCTATTTTACTGAAATGTATACTTTATTTATATTCTAGAATACCGACTTATCACAGTATATGGAAAAGCATCCTGGTGGTCTGGATCATCGTAATGTTCGCTTGTTTCTCTTTCAATTGCTGCGTGGTCTCTCCTACTGCCATAAGCGGCGCGTACTGCATCGTGATGTTAAGCCGCAAAATTTATTGATAAGCGATTGTGGTGAATTGAAATTGGCGGATTTCGGTTTGGCGCGCGCTAAAAGTGTTCCCAGTCATACGTATTCGCATGAAGTCGTTACGTTATGGTACCGTCCACCAGGTGAGTACTCACACATTGCAGGCGCATCATACCCAGAGGTTGTATCTCGGATTATTATACAAGTTGTGGGGTTTTGAGGTTTCAGGTTGTAATAATGCGATTTGCATAAGCGTGCGTTACCAAACTAACGGGAATTTCCGTTTTAGAGAATGTACGTGTATTTTTCGTTGCGTTAAAGAATTTTGTAAGTAGTAGTAGTACGGTGGCTGAGCGATGACTATCGTTTCGCGTTTGGTCAGTCACAATCATGCTAGAGTGGTTTTTTTGGTACGAGTCAAGTACTGACACTTCATTGGCTTCATACCAAAAACTTTAACCAAAGTTGTTGAGTTGATCCATAAGAGTTGCTAAGTTCCTCTGCTATCTCTTCGATGCCAACACAACGATTTTCAAGCACTGCTTGTTTAACTGCTATTAATTTAGTTCCATTTTTACGGTGTTGATAGTGTATTTCCGAATATAAAAGGATTTTAGTGGAGGATGAATACAACGCCTAATTAATTTCATAATAATATTTGAAACTGCCCAAAATGGAACACTAAAATAATGCTCTCTTAAAAAGTATTAACTCTAATTGTGATATATTTTAACTATCATTTTAAAGCAACATCTGTAGTATTTTGATCATGCAAATTAAGATATTGACAGCAACATTAATGAACAAGGATGTTATAATTATCTGCGCGGCGTACCAATAACGTAATTTTGTACTGAATATCAATTTTCTTAATGGCAATAAGTAGCTTAAATGTATATAATTTCATGATGAAATTTTAGTAGTAAAGTTACATCTAACATTTTAAGCAAAGCTGTATATATTAACTTGGTGCCCTCATGCTTTCTAAGTGACCCATGATCGTTTGCAATAAATCTCATTACTTTTTTAATTGCAAATCTATCAATATTTGATTCAATATAAATTGTTCCCTTAATTAAATAGATGATTACTTGGTAATTGACGCGTGAAATTTCGTTTAAATTAATTACTGTAAACCAATAAATGCACGTATATAAAAGAGATTATTTTGCAGCAAAGAAAAGTATGTAAGCAATACATATATATTATACATACCATATATGCAAGTATATACAGTTATGTTAAAATTAATGGCAGTATGAGTTGGGATATGCTTCAAAATCAAATTTGTATCTATTCGCAATAATAATTTCCTTTAAAATTGTGTAGTATTAGAAGTATAAAAAATTAGTATTGATACGGGTTAGCTTAAAATATGCTTAACCCTATTTACGAGTTATTCTTACGTTGATCGACCATTGTGAGTCGTCCATAAAACTAGCTTTATTGTCCGTAATTTTACTATGTGTGAAGATTAATATAAATATAACTTATACTTAGAGAGTATTATTTCTGTTAAAACAACTCAAATTAAAATTCTTAGGACAATAATAAAAAGTAAAAGTAAAATATAATTGTCATTTCCAAGTCCTATGCCGAAAGATCTATATATTATATATAAGAAGAGAAGATAAAGAGAACTTTAATCATGATATGAGTATAGGAACCATCAAAAGATACGTCAACGTTTTGGTTAGAAAAGTTAGATATGTTGCCAGCAAGATTTAATCATCAAAATTAATCTAATACGAGTATGTATCAGTATACTGTTTTCACCGAGAAGGCTTATATATAGAATTAAGGCATTATGGATCAGCTCAAACACACCCAACTAATAGGTTATGCTTCAATACAAAGGGGAAGAAATTTCGCATAAATAGGACTTTCAAGTAGACGAAGGGCTCAAAACATACTAGGGAAGTATAATGGATTTCTCTAAGCACAACAATGTTGGATTATTGAACATCATCAAAAATGTCTGAGAGGGTGTTATGTAATATTCTTTCGAAACAATAGAGCGACAATCAGTCTGGCTATGCTTCGAAGATGTGCTGCCGGTACGCGGAACAAAGCCTGTTCGACTATATGTATATACGTAAATAAATATAATGTAATTTATATGTATATGTCTGTATTCGTCTATATAGTAGTATCCGAAATTAAGTTGAATTTAATTTGACTTGCATTTCTTCATGAAAACCTACCATTTTTTCTTATTCCTAAATGAGCACCACTATTTTTGTGAACATAACTGTAAATGTGTTAGCGCATGTATCGATTTGGCAGCGCATAGTTTTTAGTTAAAGTGCAAGTCAAACGCTTGGCAATCGAGATACGGTATTATCCTTCCTTTCAATTGTCACTGCCATATCACAAAGGACAACACACACACACACAAACCAAAAGGCACATCCTTTGAATACTGATATTGCAACAATAGCACAAATAAAATATGGCGCTGTTAGGAGCCCAACTCGCCATGTATATGTATGTGTGCAGCTCGATTTGTGAGTGTGTGTTGCCTTGCTGTGAGAGAAAGGATTAAAATTGAATAGCTTACACTGGCGGTGGTAACATACATACATATGTATATGTGTGTATTGATATCCACACACGCATAAAATCGCCATTCTTGTTGCACAAGCCACGCCGCCTGCTTGGCCTTTGTTAGCAACAATAGACGCAGATCGCATGCGAATAGCACTATATGCAACGTGATTATTATCATCAACGGCAGGTTGTTGCATGCATCAATTGTGCCTGTGTCAGGTGCCACACGCATTCAAGTGCACTCGAGTTTGTAATTGAGAAGCCAGCAAAAATGTTGAAGTGTGCGGAATTCAACAAAAATCGCTACAAAAAACTTAAGTGCGGAACGTAACACGTGATAAAGTCTTATGTACATGTGGGTGTATGTACAATATTTGCATATATGCGGTAGCAAACAAATTATAAGTCAAAACTAAAAATTATTTATTGAGTGGCAACGAGTCGAAATATTCAAATAAATAACTTTTAATTGGATGGCTTGCATTAAAATTGACTAAATACTTTGACTACCGCACTTGCTACGTAACTGTATTTGAAAGCATATAAGTAAGGAAAGTAAACCTAAGTACGGGTGTAACCGAATATTTTAAACTTTTTATTAGATAATGCAGCTAAAAAGTTCAACTTTATTGTTCGACGAAATGATGAATGGATAACAATAAAATTTTGTATCATATTAACTGATTTTGTAGATCATATACTCACGTTTTTTATTACTATATCAGCGAAAATTATACTAAAATCATTGGGCGCATAGAAATAGAAGGGCTGATTGCATTAATTCTTGACATTGCTCAGGTATACTTGTGAACTTATTTTCAAGCAATTTTATAAATTTATAATATCAACATATATAATAAGTAAAGTCAGCCGGACGTTTTAAAAACGTAAATATCAGTTATATATAGGAAACTAAGGTAAGTTTTAGCCCGATTTTATTTATTTTAGCACAAAGATACACTGTTATTAGAAAAACACACGTTAGTTATGGCCCGATTTTGAGAACTTTTAGATCTGAAATGGTATACATTAAAGCAAATAGTTTGGGAGATATATAAATTACACCTATTAGGGAGCGGAGCCACACCCACTTTAAAAACATTTCAACCACAGGTGCCCCTTATTATTGCGATTCGTTGTACCAAATTACCTTTTTGTACTTTAATTTGCTGCTTAATTATGGCAATTTATAGGTTTTCGATTAATGACGTTTTTTGGGCGTGGCAGTGGTCCGATTACGCCCATCTACGAACTCGTCCTCACTTTTTTACCAAGAAACATGTGTTTCAAGTTTCATTAAGATATCTTCATTTTTACTCCAGTTATCGCTTGCGCGAACGGACAGACAGACAATTAATCGACAACTTATCTCACAATCCCGATAATTTATATATACATAACCTTATATCTAACTCGATTATTTTTAGGTAATACAGACAACCGTTACGTGAACAAAACTGTTATACTATGTCGCAACATGTTGCAAGAGTATAAAAACAATTATTTTTTCTCGCTTTGCTTTTAGCTCCTTTGCTGTTCTCAAGCTTTTTGTTACATAAAATCAACGCTAATCTCAGTGTTCAACAGACAGATTAGTATACTTTTTGACCACAAAGGTCCTTAAAAATTTCCTTCTATTCACTTCCACTAATCTATGCAGCAGTTGTCAACCAGAGAGAAAGGAAAGAAAGGATTTGTCTTACCTATTTATAATTCTCGTTAACTTTTACTTTGTTCGCATTTGTTAAAGTCAATGTTTCTGGCATCTTCTTCGCTTGATTCGTATGCATAATTAATTGTCTGCATACTTTGTTTCCTCCTTCACCTCCTCCTACTACTACTGCCACTGTTACTATGACAAAACTTCTTTCTTTTTCCTGAAATCGTCAGCCCTCTCTTCTATTACTTTTTACTTTACCGTTGTTTGGCTCGTTGCTTAGTTCCTGCGTAAGCATCATTGTGGTTGTCAAAGGGCGTTTTGTGTAATTAAATTAGGATAGGTTTTTTGCTGCCTAAACTTCATGCAAACATATTTACATTTCTAATTACTATTTTCCACAAAAAAATTAAATTTTACTGTTATCTAAGCCGATAATTCTGAACACAATGAAATGTATGCTTTTATTTTGTAAAAATCTTCCAAAGTTCCTTTTACGAAACTGTTGAGAGTCAAGAATGCGGATTCTCAGTCGAAAGTATGCCCTCTTAGACTGGGCAGAAGGACAATAACGTAATCTAATAATACTCAAAAATTGGTCGATCCAACACCTTGTCCTTCTGCCCAGTATTCAAGCTAATAATTGATAGTATTCGATAATATACTCAATCATCTGCGGTGAGTAGACGATATTCTCTCGTGAAGTATAATTTGGTATTTTGTTGTCAATTATAGATGTGTAATAGGGGGGGGGTATTCTCTTATTTAAAATTACGAATTTTAAAGCTCTTTACATAACATATATATGTAGGTACGCTAAACTTTACGTGTAAAATCAAACAATGCCAAGAGTAGAATATAACCGCCTTTGGCTCCGAACAATTTGTGCTCATTACGGCTTAAATGAAAAGATGATGAGAAGTCTAGCAGTTCAACAAGAGTTCATTATGCGGCTAGATAAAACGATATTTTGAGTTTATTGTGAAGTTTGCAAATTTCAAATTTCCAATTTTCTATTTGATTATCCATTTTCTCTCTATCCCACTTGCTCATTGCTTTGGCTACGAAATCACTTGGTTGCCTGTACACTTTGAAGCAGCCGCAATGCGAACGCTTTGTGTTGCTCTGCACTTTTTGTGCTTTACTTGGTATCGGTACATATTTGCATGTTTTGCTGTGTCTAACAGGTCAAAAAGTTGTTATTGACCGTCTATCTGAAGTTATGTAAGGTCTTCAGTGTAACCATCAATCGGTTTCACTGTGTTCAAATCAATATCCTGTCTGCCTTAATTTACTTTACGAATATTTCCTATACTTTTTTATGATATTGCATTCATACAAGTATACAAACTAAATGTAGCCCATGGCGTACGTTGGAGCCAAATGCAGATGGTTCTAAATGTGTGTGTGCACACTTTTCAGTTATGTGCGGTTGGTCAGTTCTTCGTAGGAGTAGCTGTCTACTTCCTCTTTGGTAGTTTAACCGGAAATATGTAGTTTCCTTGACTTTTAAATCCAGCTTCTTATTTTGTTCGCAAAAAGCGCAAAATAACAAAAAAATTACTCGTTAATTTTTTTTACTGAACAAAATCACTTTATTGTTCCGCTGCGTTGTTTTCTTGCTGAGATTTAGGTATGTGGATAGGTTTTGAATTACTGTTTGAAATTTTTTTGTTTTTAATTATTCACGAAATTTTTGTACCTTAGCAATAATGGTAATAAGCAGAATCCGATTTAAGGACACTAAAACGATTTAGTACACAACAAAGGAAAAAACGCTTTTGGAAAAAAGTCGTTCTATGTTCAAAAATTTCTACAGTCATGTACAGAATAGATAAACAAACTACTTCACATTTTTAAAAATGATATCCAGCATTTATTAAACAAAGATTTAAAGTTATTAACCCGATATATGTATACCATATATATGTATATGTATGTATTATATATGTATATATTTCTCATTCTGGCTATTATTCAAATCTGTCGGTTACTCATACGCAGCGTTATACTCACATAAAATGTGAAAATATACATATGTTCAGATCACGCATGAGTCGTGTCAAACTGTTATGTTATTTTTGTTCAGTATTGTACGCTTGAATAACGCTTACAAATTATTCAACTTTATAACGGAAATTCACGTTCATATGTGTTTCGAGCACTTCGCTCAACTTATGGTCAACATGCCGGTGAGAACGTAACCATCAATGACGACCGTTATCTCGTCATGATAACCGTTTATTTGATGCCTGAAATTGAAGCTCGTGATCTCGGCGAAATTTGGTTTTAACAAGACGGCGCCACTTTCCCCACATCGCAACAGTCAATGAATTAATTGAGAGAATTTTGGGATGGTCAAGTGGCCACCAAGGTCGTGTGATATCACACCGTTAGACTTTTCCTGTAGGGATATTTCTATGCGGACAATTCCGCTTTGATTCAGGCCTTGGAGCGAAACATCACGTGTGTCATTAGCCAGTTACGAGTCGAAATGCTCGAACGAGTCATCGAAAATTAGAATCAACGGATGGACCATTTGAGACGTAGCCGCAGCCAACATTTGAAAAAGCTGATATTCAAAAAATAAATGCCAAAGAATGTTCTTTCGAATGATAATAACATTCACCCTTGAATTTGAATTTTCTGTGTTTTTTTCTTTAACGAAGTAGGAAACTTCGAAATGGATCACCCTATATATACATGTATACTTGCTTGTACATGAGAGCACGTATTGTTAGGTCAGGTCAGTCATGGCTATTGTAATGCTGGGCTTTAAATTGAGTCCAAAGTGCATGCTTGCTTAACTTTTGATAGTTTAATACTCGTATCATGTATTCGCACAGCGCACGGCTATTCCAGTTGTCAACTGGTCGAGCTTTTCATTTCAAGAGAGATGTGCAGCATATGAAGCACACCAGGTTATTCGCTTGTGTGCATTTTTGATTTTTGTTTTTTTTTTGTGTCTGTTAATTTTTAATCTTGAATTGTGTAGCTTAGAAAGTTTTAATTTTGACTCTGTCGTTGAGCGCCTCACTCAAATGCAAGTCATCACAACTTTACTTTGGTTCATACAATTTATATACATTTTTAAATAAATATATTTATATTTCCATTCTTCTCTCTCCTTACAGATGTTCTGCTCGGTAGCACTGAATACTCGACATCGCTGGACATGTGGGGTGTCGGTTGTATATTCGTGGAAATGGTCACAGGCATGCCAACGTTCCCCGGCATACGTGATACATATGATCAACTGGATAAAATATTTAAATTACTTGGCACACCCACTGAGGAGACGTGGCAGGGTGTGACACATTTTCCTGGTTATAAACCCCATAAGTTAGGTAAGTTAATGACTAAAAAAATTAAAATATATACATATCACATTGTGAAAAGTTGTTGAGCAACAAAGTTGTGCATTATTGTTTTATATTCTAATAGAGATGCGGCATGTAGGTTCTTGTATTTATATAAAATATTTAGTATACTTATATACTTGTTAGGTATTATACATATATAGGTAATTAATAAAGAAACATAAAACATACAGTTTTTATCAATAAAAGTTTCACAATAGTTTTCAGTTTTCCGATAGTTAATAATAATTAATTAATAATTGGGACTTTTAATCTTTAAATATACCTGTTAATAGAGGATTTTAACCCTCTATGGCCGACCATTAATGCGTTCATAGCGCTTTGCCGATATATAAGAGTCAACTTCAGAGCTCTCCTCTCATCACAAAGTGGTAATGGAGTATGATCCCATCTCATTGTAGTCGTGGAATTAATTTATTCCGAATTAGTGGCGTAGTTCGGTATTCACTTGGAAACTCTTACGATCCGGCTTTAATTCAGTACGTAATATACTTTTATAATTGAAAACAAAAAAAATCTGATTCGACATTGGTTGGACTATTAATAATAGTGGTGGAATTTTTCAGTTCGATAGCTTCATAAAAATTATTTTAGTATATTGCGTACTACCAGACCTGTTACTCTCTTTTACCAGGTTAGGTTTGGTCGTAGAGTTGACCTTAATCAATGTATCTCAGTTGGTACAATACTTTGTGTTACGGATAAACTCCTAAAATTGGAGTTTGTAAATAAATAAATTTGTTAAGGCCGTTAATATCAATCCCAGCCAATTCACTAGTTGCGTCGAAGGTGTGTTTTCCAAAATATTTCAATCTGGCAAAAGCCGGGCAATAGAGGAGAAAGTGGCAAGATGATTCCACCTCGCTTTGTTCTACACTTTGGCAAAGAGCGCCCGACAAAGCAAATCAGAAATCCTACAATTGCGAGGATATTAGCTTTGCTAAGAGCAAGTAGTTCAGACGAACTCGTACACCTCACTCTGGGACAGAAGCATCTTACAGGCGCACAAGTTCTTGTTGTTGCCCGGAGCTTGCCGAACTCCCAGGAGCTCCATAGCTCCAGCTCTAGAATGCAAGAGGACAACACAATACCGACTTGCCTTTAATCAGATGAAATTGAGGTAAGGGTTCCTAGCAAGTTCATCAGCTTTGCAGTTTTCGGCAATTTCGCTGTGGCTGGGCTTCCCAAACAAGTCTAATTCGGTAAAAGCTTAATGCTAATGAGGTCATGCACTCCTAGTTTTGAGCACCGAATCAGCGAGTACAAAGCCAGTATAGCCGCTCGGCCTCTCAGAGCCATCTCTCGAAAGGATGCTACACTTCGTAGCAGTACATCTACTGCTACCTTGACGGCAGTTAACTCCGCTTGAAAGAAGCTACAGTGGACTGGAAAACTGAAACCAGAGTTGATGAAGATGCCTCAACAAAATTTTAATTTCGATCCATCGTTGAAAAAGCTCACTCTCTTTTATCAAGCCGCATATATAATAATGTAATTCTTGATATTTTGTGCGTTTTAGGTGACAATCTAGTTGATGTTATTCCATTCATTCTTGTTAAAAACGATCATCATAATAAAAAAGAAATGATTTCACCTTTCTATGTTAAATACATATAATTTTTTTGATAATTGAATATTTGCATACATTATAATTTTTATTCCCATGCAGGTTTTTATCGACCCCGTAAACTAGGTCACAATTTTCCTAGACTATATGATATCGTTGATGGTGAGACGATAGCGAATGCCTTCCTGCAATTAAATCCAGAACAAAGAATAGGAGCCGAAGAAGCGCTGCAACATCCCTACTTTGCGCCGTTGCCGAGAAAACTTTACGAGTTGCCCGATGGTGAGTAGCCCTACAGAGTAAAAATAAACGAAAGTAGTATTATTATAGTGTATATGTATATGCGAATATAAATAAACATTGTATATAATTTTTTTGGAGTTCAAAATATTTCGTGCAATTAATACACGAATACCATTGTATAAAACTTTTCAATTATATACATAAAAAATCCAGAACTTCGTTTGCCCAGTCAGTTTGAGATTTCGAGCGTAAAACTGACTGTCTATGTTTTCTTAAAAACGGAAATAATAAAAAAGTTTTGTAAAATACACAAAAATCTGTACAAATACGAAATCTAACGACACAAGCAGACGAATAGATGAAAAATGCTAGTGACAGCTACTTAGTTCCCTTGTTTGCTCTGAGCGGTATAAACTCATTTCGGATTTAAATCGACATAATCATTGTCACCGTTAAATGAAACGACAACGATGAATATGAATTTTCAACCTTTCAATGCTGTAAGTGTACGCAAAATGTAGCAAAACTTTTGCCGAGTAAAAGAGAGAAAACAGGGTTGTGTACGAAAAAAGATCATTTCTGCCAACAGTTGACAGAACTTGTTGGGGAATTGTAACGAAATGCTTAAGTAAATACTAAGAAGTCTGAGAAAAGTTTTCGCAAGCAAAGTAATTTAATTAAAAAGTAAAACATTTACTCAACTTACTCGCGAAAAAGCTGCTCTATAATTACACTGCACGCGTACATACATATGTTATATAATTGGGCTGCTGGCAGATATTCAAGAGCAGTAGACAACTGTATAAATACCAAACAGAGTGTGTGCTTTTCTTCATATATCTATGAATACATACATATGTGGATGCTTAAGTTACAAACACTTAAAAATTTAACATTTGCAGCGTCCGGTGTGAGGCAAACTATTTATTACAGCATTGATATTTTTCCTTTGGCGATATGATTGTAAATAATAGCGATTAACGAACTTTGTTGAAAAAATTTGATATATTAGGCAGGCTTTTAGTTGAGTCAATCACCAAACATTTTCTACATATTTATCAAGGAATTAGCTGATGCACTAAATTGGAAAAGTGTCTAAACTTTAGTTTCTACAAGCAAAATCTTACAATTAATCACTTTTGCCACATGCAGTATTAAATCAAATAAAGTAGAATAGCGTGCAGCCGATTTTATTTTTAAGAAATAAAAGATAGGTGTTTGCCAATTTGTATTTTAAAGTGAAACAAAATCACGAATCAGTAAACGAAAGAACTGATTTCATTAGTTTTTATAGTGAACCACATCACGTTAAAGGATTTTATGGATATACCACACTCTTATATATGCCATACACAATGGATTTGGCATTTGTGTTGACATCATGCTTCGAATTGTACCAAGGGGATATAATGAGCATATTTAAACCAAATGTCATTTGTAATATGTGAAATTTAACTTAACAGTGGGCCGCACCCATAATCCAAATTTTTAAATTCACATGTAAGTATATCATATGAGTGAGGACAGACACATGGGTATCAATTCGTTTCGTCTTTCTCATTATTCGTGCGGTTTTTTGTTTTTTTCCAAATTTAAATGTTTATTTAGGAAAAAAATATACAATAGCTATAGTGCTCAGCGCTAAAACATGGATTCCATTCCAAATAAATTGCGTCAAGACTAAATAGCGGCCAAATTTTGATTTGGCAACTTCCCAGCCATTATTTTCAGATATGAGGCTGAGCGTTGTCATTACGGATAATTATTGCCTCGTGTCTAGTCGCAAATTTTGGGCGTTAGATGAGTTGTTGTTGGTAACATTCTTTATTAATGGTTTGACCCAGTTTTAGAAGCTCATAATAAAGAAACTCCTCCCGTTCCCCCAAAGCAATACCTTAGCGCCATGGATATTCGGCTTTGCCGTTGGTTTGGCTAGTTGGTCAGATTTCACATAGGATTTTTTGCGTTTGGGGTTATCGTAATGGATCTATTTTTCAACATCCATCACAATTCGATGCAAAAACGACCTCTTTTTGTGTTCAGGCAACATTTCTGATATACAACATCTTTTTCAACGTCGCATGGCTTGAAGTCATATGATACAGCTGCTGTTAAACTTTTACAAATGGCAGCTTAGGTGACTTTTAGAGACCCTGCGAGTTTGGCAACAATCTTCATCTAGTAATGCCTTCAGTTCCATCTGTTAAAACTTTTTGGCCACCCTATTTAGGTCAGGCATACGGAAAATAATTTGTTCGTCATCCTGATAATTTAATATATATAACTAAATCTCTATCGATTAGTTTTATGTCTTACCTACACACCCTTTTGAGAGAATGCAAAGTTATTTGCCTCAATTAAGAATTCATTATGTATCGTCAGTCTTATGTATAAGTACGAGGTGTGTTCAAAGGAAAAGGTAAATTTTTCGCGGGCTGTGTACATTCGATTATTAATATATAGTTTTTGTTATAATTGGACACATATGTTTATCATGGAAGGGAGCCAATTTTGATTAGTAGTTTGTTTTTGACAACAGAAAAAATTAGTCAAGATTTTGTGTGCTCTTCGATTTTTGACATTTTAAAATAAATGGGTCAAATAATATGTATAAAATTTTGTGTTAAAAATGGAATAAAGTTCTCCAAGGCAATTGAAATGATGACTGTGGCATTCGGTGAGTCCACTTTGTCACAAAAAGGTGTTTATAAGTGGTACAAGCGCTTTACAGATGACCGAGAAGATGTTGATGACGATCCTGGAGGTGCGACTACGTCAACAAGCGAAGAAAACATTGAGACAGTGAAAAAATTTTTTTTGGCCAAACCTGCGACTTTTTCCTATTTCCAAACTGAAGAAACCAAATAAAGGACAGTGTTTTGCCACAATTGATGAGATCAAGTCAGAATCGAAGAAATTAGTACTTAAAAAAATATCAAAATTTACCTTTTCCCTTGAACACACCTATTATACGCTCTTTTAGTCTTTCGGTAAACTTTCTGTTAAGTAAAGTATTTCACTTCAACTAAAGGTTATTATATACTAAATTTTTCAATAAGTTTTATTGTAATTCAATTTTCAAAGTTTATTTTTTAAAAGAGCAGTGTATATTTTAGAGCTAATCTGCTTAATCACTCATATCCATTCCAAATTCATTTCATTCTCAAAATTAAAAGCCAATTAATGACAGAATCATATATTCACAACGCTTTCGATTATTCACGCCTCGAAGCATGTACCAGTGGGAGCTCTTAAATGTTCACCCATAAAACAAGTAATGCATAAGAACAAAGCACCGTTTTATCATTACCACAAATCATCAGTAAATCCAGCGACTAAGTCACTTCATTACGACAACCAAATGACTGCACCAAGTACTAAAAAAGCACTTATGAGCAGCCATGCGACCAGCTTCTGAAGGCAACAAGCACAGCTCTAGCGTCAACATGGCAGCCTCAACGGCGTACTGCGATACATAGTGGACCGTGTATTTATGTATGTGCAGCCATATATCCTTGTAGTTTTCCTCGCCAGTTATTTGCGATTGCATTGTGCCACAATCACTTCGAATCCTTGCTGTCGCACCACAATGCCACCAAATGGCAATTCCAAATGCAACTTGAATTTGCAAACTGTCGTAAACACTCATAAAACATGCGGTGCAACCGATAGCATTCGCAAGCTATGCCGGCTGCAGTGGTGTCACAAAACCAAGGCGGCAACAGCGGCTTTGCGTTACGTTGCGGGTGGATCTGTCCGTGGCGAATGCGCTTGAATTTGGGTTTTTGTGCTAGGAACGTCTAACCGTGGCCATATAGGGTAGCACTGACACTGACATGCATACTTATACAAGTGCCGCACAAGTTCGGGCCGATTTCCGTAGACTCAACTACATTTTTTTGGGGTAGGCAATGTTTTCTAATCATGCCGTTGTTGTTGTTTTCGTTTCGCCTTGTTATTGCGATGCTCGTATTACATGTGCGTTCGTGTTTTGAAGCAACAAAGCCCCAATACTGCGCACTGCTGCTATTCAGTGGCAGTAGAAAAGCACCTGCCACATGCCACCAATATGGGGAAATAGGTTAGTTCCAATTGCAGAGCAATAGCAAGCTCTTTGTTATTGCACTTTTGTTGTAATTCAAGTAAGTGCTGAAAGAAGCGCTTGTAATAGTCGTAACGATACCTTATTCAATGTTGTTTTTGTGTTTTCCCAATTTGCATTTAATGCTTCGTTGACTCGTTGTTGCGCACCTTGCTTGCTGCCTGCGCTTGCATCTGCTGCTAACGGACTCACCAACAAGTCGTTGTGCTCACACAGAAATGTGTATATGGGTCGGTGTGCCCGCATGTCTTCCAGCAATAGTGTGCAAACTCCTCCAGTCTGTTTGTTGTACTATATTTTCGTTGCTTACACCATTTCTTCCAAATTTCTTTATATACGAGTATATGTATATAATATACACATGCATACATGTATAGACTATCACTGTGTATGCATATAAAACTTTTTTTGTTGTTAGGGAATGAATGGAATTTGCTTTTACTAAGCGCATTCATTGCTCAATTTAATTATTCGATTAATTTATTTATAAGACCAGAAGTTGCTCGAAACCAAATTACAAATGGTGAAAGAAAATTGCTTGTTCGATTGTGATTAAATATTCAGTGAAATTACTACTTGGCATATTTGCAAAGTCAAAAAAAGTGTGCAAGTATTTGCTATGGTCTCAAACGTTGCATATGGGGCCTCCTAAAAAGTTTGTTTATGAAATTTTTATTTTTGATTTCGTTTTGCAACCAATTATCGACCAAAGAAATGCGAGTCAAATGCTAAAATAAATAGCAAAGGAAAAATGATTAGTTTACGGCTAACCTCACTAAGTATTATAATTTAAATGTTTACTCAAATAAATTAAATATAAAAGGAAAAAATCGAGAAATATAAGTATATTTACTTCTCAAAATTTCATATAATCTTTATTTCTCTGGTTTGTGATAAAAATTTTATAATAATCACCAAACTTTAAGATTTTGAAATA